ACTCTAAGTATAAATAACAGACTTTTTAAAAAAAAAATGTATGTTTTTACAAGCGCACAATTCAACTTAGAACTGAAAGAATCTAGCTCTTCTCTATCAACAGTAAATGCAATCAGCAAGTCCAAAATCCTAACTCTGTTAAGCGTTAAGTATTAACAATTATAAAATATGTGGTAAATGGTAAAAATCCATTGGGTAAAAAAAAGCCAACAAACAGAAATATTCTATACACAGAAAAAGTAAATCAAGCTACCCCCACAACATATATAAACAACATTAATATAAAACAAATAGAACTATTATTAGAAACAATCCTTTCATTTTTCTTAAAACAGAAAGTTAAAAAAAATGTACAGCTGAGAATTATACCTTTGAATAGCTTGTATTCGATGACTGGACACATAGATGTAAAAGGAAAATAATTTTGCAGATCACAAGGCCCATAGTGATCCAATTTGAATATTCAGCAGAACTATTTCTTTATGAATCAGTTCTCAAGAAGGTTGGCAACATCAATACAACTGTAATAATGTTCTTTTATTTAAGCAACATCTTGAGATAAAGAGACGAAAGTCAGGGCAAATGCTAAAACTTAAGACATATAATCTCGTTGTTCCATTATGCAAAATGACATCTTCATTGGAACACATCTTCAAGCATCAGACTGCCAAGTTATACAATCTCTTCATGCATTAGTTTTAAGTTTCAACTTCAATCTTAATTATGCATTTAATAAACACTTTAAAAATAAAATCATGAAAAATGATTTGATACCATTTTAGATTTAATCTCTATTATTTTCTAAATTCATTAACATTATTCATTTTTGTGTTGCACAACACTTTTAAAAAGGTCTTCTCTCTGATTAGCTTGAGATTATGAATCCCAGACAAATATTGACATATAGTTGGCTATGTATGCGATCATGCATTTGCATGTATTTAAGATGAAACAGAGAACAGGATTACATCCGCACTTTGATTTATTGTTCGACATTATTTACTAAATTTTCTTAAAACCCTCTCATTCCACACTGGATTCAGATGAGATACAAAAATCAAGCAATTTAAAATATTCCTTACAAAGTATAACATATCAACCCTCCCTCTCCCATAACTAGTATTTTAACTAGAACAGGGTCATACATATTGTTGTCATATGCACAAGTACATATATAATAGTTTTCAGAAGAAATACTTATTGCATTTTACAAAAATGAATTTCAGGAAATAAAGCTATTGATTTATCACATAGAATGCAAGAAAATATCAAACCAATTTACAGTTTATCAAGAAAAATGACCAATATTCAATCATGTCATTTCTTGAAAATCTTCATTTGGAAACAATTTGCAAGTAGGAAACAGTCATTAACAATTTATTTAGTTATATGCCTGAATAATGGTAATCATTTCTGAATATCTGGCTAGTTTCATTTAAACTCTGAATGAAAATTTTATAATGAGAAAATATAGTAAGTTTTAAATAGTTACGTTAAGTTTTTAACATAAATTTTTAATTTTTTTTTTTAAAAAAACAGTTTTCAGTACTAATTACAAGCATTATTTAAAGACTTTTTATTTACTGTGATCAGTAACTATTTATCACATGTAGTACATAATAGTACATATAGTATTATATGTGCATAGTACATATCGTACACATATAGTACATAATACAAACATATATTATGGATTACATAATTTTATTGCACAATATGCTCCCAATATGCACATAAAAATGCTTAAATATTTCAGCATCCACTATGAAACTAAGTATCAGCCATTTCTAGCACTAATAATCACAGTAAAAGTAGTTCACAGTATGAAATTACTAACACATTAACTGAACTTTTATAATTATAAATATGAATATACATTTTAATTTAAGAGTAGCATAATATTAGCATAGTTCAATTTAAAATTTAGTTTGAAATAAAGCCAAATGTTGTCAACTTAAAAAATGTTAAAGTTGATTAAGATTTCTCAGGCTTATGGTTAAAAGGGAAACAATTTCTAGCTCAAGTAATAACTGAGTGCCTCACGTATGTCCAACTCTTCAGGTAAGAATCTAATTCATGTATTCCAAATTTATGAAAGCTATCCTATAGTGTAACTTCAGTCATACAGCAACATCTACACCTGTTACAGATTACACAAGCTAACTCCATGCTATCATTTCCTTCAAAGGGAATGTGTTTACGTCACACAGGAACACAATGTGGTAAACCTCTCACCATCTCTTTTGTATTTTTTTAAACATAGGCAAAGCTTCTATTTTCAGCTGAAGCTTTAGTAAAGTGCCTGCATAAGCATCCAGGAGTCAATTCAATTAAACATTTAATGATTATTTAAATTAGGAGGGAAATTCTTGTAAAGAAGCAGACAGAAGTAATCTTGCTTCGCAGTATATACTTAAGCTGAATATAATTTCAAATTTGCACTGTCAGTCATAGCATCTGTTCCGTCACTCCATCATCTCTAATCTTCTTTATGGATCATACAAATATATAATTTATATTTAAACTATTGTATCCAAATTCAATTTAGCAGCTCGGTTATTATCTCAGAACTGTTATTTTCAGTATTATTATCTATAAATTATGTCAACCATATATGTCGTTCATGCTTACCAAAAATTATATAAACTGTATCATCAAATTTTAAAACATTTCACGAGTGGATTTCACCTACACATATCTGTTTATAAAATCACAAATACTTAAGCACAATATCTGTATCCAAACATAATGTAAACTTCAAAATGCAAGATAGCAAAAAATGAAATATTCCTGATGCTTCTTTCAATTACCTTCACAATTGCCTTTTAAACTCATTTTAAAGCCCAGACATATCTCTGAAAACAATCAGCAAATGCAAAGCAGCTTTCCTTTCACTACAAGAAAAAAGGCCATCTGAATGGAAAGCTACCACTGTTAGAATTACAAAATCAATGCACTATCGGGAATATAGCTATTACTGCTATAAACATTAAGAACTTGTTTTAATTTATATTAGATAATCAGTATCTATGCAGGAATTCAGAAACCTTAAAAAAATATTATGTATATGATATCACTGTACATTATTCAACATGTAGTGAATAATATGCAATGTGTTAATGCTTATGCCCACAGTAAAACTACATCCATCTCCTTTTCTCATTAGTGTCGATTATTTCATAATAGGTTTCTATTAACTATCACAACTAAAATAACCAAATACCAAGGAAATATCTGAAGAGCACCACTTCCTCTCTTTTATTTTGACTAATATAAGTGAACAAAGAAATGAAATAGAACCAAAGTATATAGCAAATTTAAGGTAAATGGCCTATTCTACAAGGAGCACACAGGTTTGGTTTGAACTTATGGCTTTGTTCATAATATTTGACATTTTCTTGAACAAAATACTAAAGGTGAAATCTAATTTTTAAAATATTTATTGGAACAACACAGTTGGCACTAGATAATAAGCTGATTTAAAAAAAAATAAATAACCAAAATTAGTATTTGTTCAGAATTACATTTGATAATTCACTTTACTACTAATGGTAGTGGTATGATTCTTTTTAATTATTCAAGAAAAGAACTATGGTTTACACCTACCTGGGTAAAAGTCTTTGGATTTAGAAAGCTTGATGGTAGCCCCAGTCTCTTTCTGCAGCTGAACAATTGTTTGTCCTCCCTTACCAATTATAGATCCAGCCGCATAACTAGGTATGAGGACCTTTAGAAAATATTGGCCGTCCTCTGGAAAAAAGAGACAAAAGGTTAATTTATGTTCGAAAACATTTTCTCTCAGACCTATAAAATATGCCTTTATCTTACAAATATTAATACACCGTTCTTTTGTACAGACTGCAGTTGTTTAGCCAATATTAAATTAATATCTGTTCTTAAATTTGTGGTGCTATGGGATGCAATGACCTAATTCAAGATATAATTCTAAGCATAAAACTGTTCCTGTATGGCTCTATTTAACTTGATACAATAACATGAGCCAAAGTGTATTACACACACACACACACATGTACACACACACACACACACACACACACACACATAGGGGCAAAGAAAATGATCAAGAAAGATCAAAGTCCTTAAAATGGTACAATCAAATTAAAGAAATAAAATTGTTAGAACTAAAGGCTATGTATTGTTGCCCTATAGTCTTCAAAGAATACACTGTTTTTTGTTAAATAACCCGGAATCAAAGGCATTACTCAAAGTTATCCTGAAGAAAACTCAAAATAATGTGGTTATGATAATTTGCCTAAGTAATCCTGATGTATTTCTTCAACATTTCTTGGTAGCAATGATCTCTTAAGCTCATTAAAGGACATTAAGAAGAATTTTTCTCAGTTAAAAGGAAGCTAAAACCCTGCATGCATTTAAAAAGTGACTGTTAATGTAAATACTTTCAAAGTAAGAGTTTAAAAAGTCCCAAAATAGTTAAGAATAATCAGTACTATGAATAAAACAACTTTATAACTGAACAATTGTATTGCTTCCTTCACAGGTCTTACACCATCAATTCTATGGACTAGGAAGAAAAAAAAACGCTGCTCTGACAGGATTGCATGTAAAAGCAACACACATTTTAAGACCCTTCTTTATTAAACAGCCCAACTTTGTTTTTTTGTTTTTATATATTAAATGCATCTTAGAAGTTTGCTTTCATCAAGGAGCCACCTAACAGCAGCCTCACTTTCTCTCAGAGTCAACGTCCCAGCTGATACAGGTGCATCCCCCCCAAAACATTATACAAACGTTTAAAATACATCAGCTATCTACTTCTGCTGTTTCTTAACGCTGGATGAATAAATTCACCTCTGCCTCGGTGCATTGTTATGAAGACTCCAGTGCAAATGAATAGAGGAGATGCTGGTCCCGTTATAACTCATCTCATCCAGGAAGAGCAGGATGTTAACTAACAAGTCACCGCACCAAGACAGACAACTCCCGCCCTCCCTCCTCAAACCTCTCTCTGACACACACACGCGCGCTTACACACACCCCATCACAGTGACCCAGCCCCAGGAAGCACAAATCTGTGCAACATTTTCCACCGAAAAGGAAAGTGGTGCCAGGAAATAAGACAAGTTTTGCTGCTGCCGCCGCCGCCGCCGTTTAATCTACCTGGCGACTCACAAAAGGGGGAAGAGGGAACCGGGGGTGAAAGTGCCTTTTTTCCAGCCGCCATTTATTCGTTTAGTTCTTCCAACTGTTAACCACGCGTGCAAGAGGGTCGGTGCAAGACGACTTCTGAGCTCCTTCGCCCAGAGGGTCAAGGCTGAAAAGCGCCCCCCCACACACACCACTCCGCCCCGCCACTACGAATATGTGAAATTAAAATAAAACAGGGCTGCTAGATGCTTGAAAGGCGACGCCATTTTGATGAATGATAACATTTGAGAAATAAGGAATGTTTGGGGAAGGAAAAGAGGGAGAGGCGAGGCGAGGAGGCAGGTAGGAAAGGGAAAGGTGGGTGGGGAATTGGGTAGTGGCAGGAGGAGGAGGAGGAGGGGGAAATACCCACCGCCCGTGTTGGTCCTTTTGGTGCTGCCGGCTTCAGGGGGAGCTTCAAGTGGTCTTTTCCGAGAGTCCGGCGGGTCCAGGTCTATGGGTACCCCAGGATGGGTCCCGTTCTGCTGGATGGGAGCTGCCGCCATCATGTTTGCTGCCGCCGCCGCTGCTAGAAGGATAACTGGCTTCTCCCTTCGGGGTGGGGGGAGCAGGGAGGGGGAGGAGGAGGAGGAGGAAGGGGCTCGTCCCGCTTCTTTCGCTTTTCTTCCGTCCTCTGAAATTTCAGGCTAATCTGCGAGATCGGTCCGCTCCCTCCCCCCCACCAAAAAAAAAGATGCTTTCTTGGAGTGGGGGGGGGCAGGCGCTTGTTTGTCTGGCACCGGTGAAACGGGTTGGGGTGGGGGGGGGAGAGAAAAGGGAGAGGAGGAGAAGGGAAAAAAAAGCAGGCTGGACGGCTGGCTGAAGGAGCAGCTGCAGTGCAGTGCCAGCAAAAGCTGAGGTTAAAAAAAAAAATTAAAAAAGGGGGAAGTGGGGTGGGAGGGGGAAGCGGAGACAAAATAAGGGGAGAAAGAGAGGTAAGGGAGGCGGGGGACAAAGTGAGGCGGAGGAAAGGGGAGAGAGGGGAAGCGAGAGAAAGAAAGAAAGGAGGGGAAAGCGAGGCGGGGAGGGGAGGAGGGGGAGAGCGAGGAGGTTGTGGCTGGGGGGGGGGAGAGAGAAACTGGATTCAGGGAATGTGACTCTGTGGCCCCTCCAGAATCCCCTCCCCGCCTTTTCTCTCCCGGTGCTAGTCGGGCGCTTGCAGCTGGCGAGGAGAAGGGCTGTTATTGCTTTCGCGTTCTCACGCTCTCCCAGTTGAAGAGTCTCAGGCGCGCTGTCGGGCTACACTCTTGTCAGGAGTTGCTCGCTGAGAGTCTCTCTCCCTCTCCCCCCCCCTCGCCCCCGTTTTCCCGGCCGCGCTCTCTCTTTCTCTCCCCTTCTCTTTCTCTGTCTCTCTCTCCTTCCAGCACACACTTACGCGCAAAAAAAAAAAAAAAAAAAAACTCGGGCTCCCGCGACTCGGGTTGTAAGAGAAGGGTGCTCGCCCTAGCTTCTCTTGCGGACACACTTTCCGAGCCCAAACACTCCAACGGGGAAGGGAGGGCAATGAGGTATGTATTTATTTATGTATTTAACGTGTGTGTGTGAGAGAGAGAGAGAGAGAGAGAGGGTGTGGATGTGTTTGTGTGTGTATACAATATACGTGTGCAGGCCTTCCAGAGAACAGGAGAGCTGAACCCAATCGAGGGGAAGAACTTGAGGCTTGGGTTGGAAGGTTAAGCCAAAAAAGACAGAGGAAGGGTGCCTGATGGGTGCAATTGAATCCCGCCCTTGATTGTGCTAAGATGGGACCATCCAGGAATAAATAAAAACAGACGATTTCCAGTTCTGGCTGCCCCACCTTAAGGAACAGAAGGCGGCAGAACTGTGTTGGGCCAAAATAGTTGATCGTGTACTTTCTGTGATGGAGTAGCATGGTAGGAAGGAGGCATCAGATTTTCAACGTTGTTTCATTTCCTTCTCTCCATATGAATAGGAGCTTGGCTAGATGAGCCTTGTCCTTTCCCCAGTATTGTGCAAAAAGCAGGAAAACAAACAGAAGAATAGAGTTACTCTTCAAAGCTGTTTCCTCTTATTTCCTACACACTTCCTCTGGAGCCTGACTTTCCAGCAAGCATCTTACAAAGAGAGGTGTGTCAACAGGTAGAGATTTCCACATGCCCATATGACTGAAGACTGCTCCTCCTTTGGTATTCCATTCTGAGAGGAATAAAGGGCAGTGAATAGGAATGGCTTCTTTTGATCTCCCCTGCACACCAAAATACCAGCATTTTCAAGTGATGATTACAAAGAGCAATTACTACACTTCAGATTGTTTATATGCATTTTCAGTCCGGTATCTACTTGGTTCCTTGTTTTCTGGTTGGACAATATACAATATGAGCTGGTTAAATCATACTTAGAGCTACAATAGCATTTTACCAAAGCTTAAAAAACCAAACTACTACTAGACAGGGGGAAAAAAAAGAAAGTAAGTTGCTTCTTTGCTGTCACTGCTGCTATCTAGTGGCTATATGGTTTTTTGAAGCTCAGATATATTATCACTGATTCATCTGCTTTGGATGCTTATTGAAAACCTTCCAGATGACTGATCATGCTAAGAGATACCTTATGGATATCAGGTTAGAAAAAGTCAGTGTATTACTTTTTGTTACTCTTTCCCATGTTTCCTTGTTCATAATTTTTCTCTCTTTCCTCTTTCTCTAGGACTTTACAATAAAAAAATACACTTGCTCAGTTCAATCCCTGCTGGCAGAATCACACACGTGACTAGTGTGTTTTGTATAAATTGCTATCCCTAACTTTCTTATATATCTTTACTCATCCTATTACCATTTAGAGAACTTGATGAAGTTTGGACCAGTCCCTCTTTGCTGTTCACAGAAAGAAGATGACATGGCAGAAATGATTGCTTGTGCTCTTTGGGGGGGAAAGTTTCACAGGGCCAAATAAAGCAAGGATGAGATACAAAAAGACTGTATTGTCTTGTATACATGTTCTCTCTGGGCAATTTGTTCCTAATTCATTTTTTTTTTTTCATCCTAGCACCTAAAAGGTTTTCCAGGCTTTTTCTTCTTTACACTATATAAAAAGAATGCAAGTAAGTTTTTTTAAAAAATAGTTCTTTTTCTGGATAATTCATCACTCCCTATTCTTAAAAAAGTGTCTTCAAGAATGAAAGGATGGGTAAGCAACTGCAGGACAGACTGTTCTTTGCCATCTCAATTCTTGATTTCACGAGTGACCTATGGTGAGCTATAGCTGCCCTGTGGTATCATACTGTGTGAGGAAGGGATAAGCATTACAGAACATGGTTCATAACAAGGGAACAGTTCAGGCAGCATGGCTGTAAATAAACATGGATTCTAATATTACAGAAATACTATATCTGACATTGGTTGTTACTACTTTTTTGTATATCAATATTGAATTGTTAATCCTGAAAGAGGAGTAATTAAAAATAATTTAAATAAAAAGGAAAAGTGGCTAGAAACATTAATCTGTATTTTCCAGCGGTGACACTGAAAAATATTAATTACATACAATGGTAATAAATGTATCAGGTTTCCTACTTATTTGAAGCATTTTATTACCCACACTTGAAAAAGTAAATCCCAGAATGGTACATAAAGATAGATAAAGCAGAATTTGTCTGATGTGTATATCCATCTATAGGTCCCAGGGCATTAAAAACAAATTTCAGAGAGATGTCTGCTGGATAAAAAGTTCTGTTGGGCCCCAAGATTAGTCTCAGTATGCAAAGATGTCTATGCTATTCCTTTTTTTTCCTCATCCTGTTACAGTCATGAAATTTTCTTTGTCCATGTCACCTTCTCAGAATGATAGATTATTCATTAGTTATTAGTTATTATTTGAAAGTAAATTCTAATTTACATATTGCCTACCAGTTAAACAATTAAAATCCTGTTTACTCAAAACTATATTTAAAGTATAGAATTATATTTTAATGTGCCACAATTTAGGTAAGGACAGAGACATGTTCATTCTACAATGTTCTCATATTTTCAAATGGTTTGCTCTAAATCACAACATAAGAAAAGTAAGATTTCATCTGTATAGCAAGACTTGCTAGTTTTCAGTAGTGAAAACTAACAGCTCGAGAACTAAATTCCCACTGTCAATTGTGGTGGGGGTTTTTTTCCATTGTTTGCAACTGATGCTGTTGTTTTCCACACAAATTTAGGTACTGCAAATCCATGTTCTAGATTACATGTTGTATCCAAAACTGTCACTAAAAGTTTGCAACTTTAAACGAAGATAATTGGAAAGTACAAACCTCATAATTTTACATATGACAAAAAAGTGGTCAAGAGCTCATCCTTCTCAACAGTTCTAAAAAACACTATCATATCAGCTCAAATATTCAGAACTAAATGCACAATATGTATTATACATTATGATGGTATAAATGTTGTAAACTGGAAACCAAAAATAAAGTGCAACTGACTATTAAATACCTTCTGTCATATTTTACCATTATGAAGAGATCATTCAAATTTTCCTCAAGCAGCGAACATAGTGCAGACAGGTTTGTAATGGTCATTGGAATACGTTCCAGTTTTCTCATTCTGCTCATAAGAAATGTGGGCTGTGCTTTTAAATCAATATTTATTGTAAAAATAGTGCATTCAATTCCCATCCTTTATTTGTGTAGCACTTAAACTATTTGTTTATATGGCATAATATATGTTTAATTCTTAAACATGCTTTTGCATAAACCACATAATGACAAATCACATAAATTAAGTATACTATTGCATTTGATTTAATATCAACTTTTTCCCCAATATTGTGCTGAGATGTCATCTTAAAAATGCTTTGGAATAGTTTCATCTTTGGAGAAGAGATTTTTACTCTTGAAAGTTTAAACAATGTTTATTTATCTTATAATTTTATATACCACCTTTGCTTTACAAACATAAATAAGATCATGAACGGTCAAAAAATAATCAAAACAAAAAACCAGTTTACAAAAAGCTATAATCTGTAAATGTGTAGCCCCAGAGATAGCACAAACAACCACATTTCTTCCAAATTATAAACTGGCATAATTCATGCATTATCCTATGCTGACAAGACGACCTAATTCATACATTATACTCTGCTTTGTTTAATCTCTCAGAATTAGTTTGATTCACTCAAAATGCTAAGGCATAAATCAGAGTATATAAGCCTCAATGGTGGAGTTCACACAATACAATAAGCCTAAACCATTCGTTCTGTGAAATAAGGCACAGAATAGTGGCAATCTTCATCACGAAATCATTCCACAGTGGTCTCACAATTTAGCCTGTGGCCTCTATGCTCCAACAGCCCTGTGATATAAGATTAATTGCCTAAAAATTCAAGATAGAAATATGGTACAATGTACAGTAAGGCTGTTAAAATAGATCACTTAGATCTATTGTCATTTTGAACCCTATCCATTGAATATTTTTAACCCAGACCTTTATGATTATGAGCCATGAGCATGAGCCATTTAACAGCTGTTAACTAGTAAGGACTCATGGATTTTAATATTGTTTAGCTTGTTTTTTTCATATATGATTTGCCTGCAGTCATTGTCACTTTAAACAAAAAGGTGATCTATAAATATTTTAATTAATGAGCATAGACCTCGCTGTAAACCTGCTTCATTGAACATGGTGATGTTTACTAATAATTAAGTGAACTATGGACTAAATATTTAATCAAGTTTTTAAATCAACTAAAATTATCTTTCCCAAATTTAAAGTAAATTTCTAATTTTAAAATTAATAGTCAAATTATTCCACACATAAATGATTACTATTTATTATATCTGTTACATAATTTGTTAAGAATTGTACTTTGGTTCGCACCTCAAAGTATATTGTCTTTTCATTCAAATGTATCAAACTAGCCATCATAATTTGTACAAACTATGGGTAATAAGCTATATGTGAATGTAAACTACAACTTGGAGATAGCCATATATAATATTCTTGCCTCATAGCGAAAATGGAAAGGGTATAATGGGATGGAAATCATAGATTTATGTTGTCAAGTCTGATGTTTGCAACACATCATGTGTTCTATATTATTTTACAAATACCTAGATATATGACTGAATCCTGCTGACTGCAAGACACCTGAAGATCTGGATCTTTCTTCAGGAAAGCTAGGACAGGGTGGGCATCCACTCTCAGACATGGTTATATTTATCTTGAATTTTTTCTTCACTTGCCATGTTCATCATTTTATTAGGGTTTTTTTTATGTAATGTTCTTTAATCCTTGTTATGATTCTCCAAATCACTGACAAGTGGCAGTCCTAAAAATTAACTTTATGAATAAATTAAAAATAAATTATGATTGCAAAGCCTCTTTTGCAAATTCAGTTATGGCAGGCCCCAGACCTTTTAATTTTCAATAATTGTCAATTCTGGTTTATTCAGCAAATTATGATTAATAAATTATAATTTAAATCAATGTATGAATCAGCATAATTATAGCAGTACAGGACATGATTATAGTGATTCTATTTTGATTCCTATCTTCCATAATTGTTATTAATTTGTAAATATTTGGTAATAATGAATTCCGTAAAACTGAACCGATACTTTGTGAATTAGTGGTAATTAAAAAACCCATAAAAACACTTAATTTCACTGGAAAACCATGTCTAATATTTTGAAAATGAATGCTTTTTGTCTTTTCCTACCTTCACTGCAATGGGAGGTATAAAAATTTCTATATTTATTTACTTCTGCTTATTTTTTATAGAAAATTTCATCAACTACCTTAGTATTTCACTACACTTCTTTGCACTTTCTATCAATCTCCAATATCTATAGAGGAATTATTTGCATTGATCCATATAATCCTTTTATAAAGTCTTATCCTTCTTTGTTCTCTGACTCTTTAAACAATTCCTAACACCGAATTTGATGTTTTACTACTGCAGCAAAATGAATTGACATTTTTATTGTGCTTTTAAGTGGTATTTCAATATCCTTTTTTCTACTAGAGCTAATTTAGAATCCAAGAATCAGAATATGTTTATTTCTTTATCTATGGGCAATATAAATAAAACAAACTGTCAAATGTAAAAAGAACTTATGAAATATACAAATCAATTATTTATAGATAAAAAAAGTAATATGCAATGTATTTTGTATGAATAAAATTCTAATTAGTGAATTATCAGTAATACATGTAAATTCAGCACATGAAATACATTTACTAATGTTGGCTGATAACATTTACAAATTACAAAAACTTCCAATAATTACATAGTTACAGTGGGGTACAGAAAAGAAAACCTCATTTTTTTATTGATGGGATACTCAGGCATTTTTCCTTCCACAGAGATATTCCCATAGATTCAGAAACAACAGATTGTATTGAAAATGAAGAACCCCCTCCCCGCCCCACCCTATGAAAGGAAATTACTACATTCTTAATAACAGCAAAAACTCTTCTGTCAAAGAAGTTTAAGTATCTGTCAAGGAATTCTCTAGTGCCTGCTTAAACATAAACAGCCTGTACTATTTTTATTCCTACCAGTAGAGATAGATCTTTCAGGATAGCATGTTGCTTCTGCTTTTAAACTCTGCCTATTTCTCCCAGTGATTCAAATTGAGTAAAGTGTTCTTGAATTAATCTTTTGAAATGCAAGTAGATAAAGTAGAACAACTATGCACAAGAAAGAGAGAGAGAGAGAGAGAGAGAGAGAGAGAGAGAGAGATGTTTCTAGAAATAATTTTTAGGAAATCGGCCAGCAATTTGTATACTTTTATTCTAATAATACATTTTATTTGGTTACAATTTGAAATTTCATTTTATTTGAGATTTTACCATATTATTTCATCTTCACATTTAGGTTATTTTTCTTCTTGGTTGAAAAACTACAGTATTTGAATGAGTATCATTGATTTGTATTCATTTGAAATCTAAAACTAGAACAAAAACCTGAAAAGATTTTCAAAATATTCTCAAGATTTTTCCTAATAATCCCCAATACAATGCTACACGATAATATCATTTTAACAAGGACTTTTTTTAAAAAGATGCCTCTGTTGGTGGCCACCATTATTTCCACAAAATTCCCATAATAGCAAGATATGTTTATTATTTGTGGAAATAGACTTTTTTGAGAACTACAGCTATAACACAATTTTTATCAGCTTCCCACAACTGATTTTTTTTTTTTTAAGGAGCAGCAAATAGGACTGAAGTAAGACATTTTTAGGCAGCTCTAAAATTCTGTTACATCTCTTTTTAACATGTTAATACCTCCCACATTTTCTTCAGAGTCTACACACACATATAAACATACACAAAATATTACTTTGTTTATATGCTTGTCATATGTCTGATCAATTCTAAACTTATAATAAAGCAAGATTGATTTTATGCAGACTTTATGGTTGTTTACCATAAAAAGTAGTTTACCATTAAACTTTTAATCTGCATAATGTTAGGCAAATATCTTAACAGTTTTGTTTTCTTCCTCTTTCAACTTGTTTACCTCTTTGAGTTCCCTAACTCACTTTATAGATAATTCTCACATGTGTGTGTGTGTGTGTGTGTGGTCTATTATAGTGTATATAGCAATAGCACTTAAACTTTACAGCTCTCTCTAAGCAGTTTCCAGAGGCAGCATATTGCCTCCAATAATCTGGGTCCTCATTTTACTGACCTTGGAAGGATGGAAGGCTGAGTCAACCTTGGAATCAGAATTGAATTGGAGTGAGCAGTGAGTTAACCCTGCAGTACTGCATTCTAACCACTGTGCCACTACATCTCTCTATATATTGCACAAACTCTAGCCTGAACAATGGCAGTGAGTGAGAGAATCTTAAAAAACAAAAACTGTTAAAGCTGGAATTTGACAGGAAGAGTAGGTATTGTATAACCAGAAGCTTCCATATCTTTCACTTCATTGTTTTATATTGGGTGTGTGTAGTGTGCATTCATTCATTCTTTCATTCCTAGATAGCTGTAATGAATCTACATGGGAGAGAAAAATCTGTAAAATATCAACCAATACAATGTGTGACTCATTCATTCCCTTTGAGAATTTTCAGAATGAGGAAAGAAAAGTATGAATCTTTGACCACTTCTTAAGTCTCAGTTGTAACAAAATAATGTTTTTCTGTGACCTTTAAGCTGTTTATCTTTTTCATTCTTGCCAGTGATTCCGTAGATTGTTCCAAAAATGGGAATCCAGTATATCTTCTCAAAATGGTTTCCCATTTTTTTCCAACAACAATTTGTTCTTTTATGAAATGACATCAACATATTTTGCAAGTTTGAATGTGTGTACGACAGAAGTTATTTCAGGATGATAGTTCAGTACCATAGAAGCGACATTGGATGAAAAGATTTCATCATCACGTATCAGAATAAATATGGTATTTGGAATTATTGTATATGTATTTGGAAAATTATAATTATTGGCCTAGTTTGAAAATCCAATATAAAACATGATC